CACCTGGGCTCCCTGGCACACACTGCTGGGATTAGCGCTGCTGCGGAGGGTATTCAGGAAGGCACTTGGAAATCTAAACCCTTGTTTCCACAGCACTCTGCTTTTTTTAGGTTCAACCAGGGGGACTGTTTGAATGTTCTACCTACATTTAAATTGTTCATTTGGGTAGTTGAGGCTCAACATGTGATATAAGAAAATGGGAATATTTCTTTAGCTTGTGTTCTTACATGGAAGCATGGTATTGATTTGTGTTGTTGGCTTCCCCCCCTACCCCCCAGCTGAGGCTGATCCTTATCTTGAAATTTAGTAAAGATGAGAAGTTTGTTGATCTAAAATTTTTCGTTTTAAATCCATGTAAGATACTGAAGAATCTAACTTTACACAAAATTTACAAGAAAATTATTTACAAAAAATAATTGTTCCTGAAGAGCCTTGTCTCTAACTTAACTAAAATCATGGTTATAGTGAAAACTGAAACTATCTGCCTTAATTGGTGGTGTAATCCAGAAGTAAACGTAGTACATTCCATTCTTTAAGAACAGCCAAATTGACTGTGTCCCTGATCAGCACATCCTGAACCAGTGTAACTCTGTGTTTCTCTGTGTTAGCAATTATGTGGAGTAGTTACAGCTATATTTTGCAGAAAAAAAAAGAAGGCTGAGCATCTCAGATTCTCAGCAGAACTGTAACATTCTGAGCATTCATTTAAGTATATGCTCTTTTCCTAAAGTATAGCTGTCTCTGCTTTGACATTGATTACTGTATGTTCTCACTTAAGATGCAAAATTGACAAACAAGTGCATAGCAAGTAGCTAATGGAAACCATGTATATTGAGACTATTAATGATGTTTTCTACAGGAAAACGTATTTTTTTTGTTGTTGAAGAACTGCCATCTGTTAAAGCAATAATATTTTTGCCTAAATACCGTGTGAATTCAGTGTGCATGCTTTATGGAGTTGGAGCTATGAAACTAGTTCTTAAAAAGCATGTTTCATGTGATTAAGCAGTGCGTTTAATCTTTTTCTCCTGGAATAGTCTGATCATGTTTTTAAAGACATAGTTACTAGACTTAAGTCACAAGGATTTCACGTTTTTCCTAGATTTAAAAAAAAAAAATTATTTTAGAATCCATTTGAGTGAAATGGAAGCGATGAGCTCTGGCTCCTGTTCAGGAGTGGCTCCTCTGCTCTGATTGCACTGAGAGCTGTGGGTAGTCCTTCCTCTCCTCTGGCTGGCTGCTGGAAATCACCTGGAAAACTGAGTGCTGCCTGTGGGACGGGAGCTTGGCGTGTGGGAGCGCGCCCTTGCCTCTCGGGCTGCTCGGTGTGATCTTCAGATGTGTGGGCAGAGAGCCGAGAGCTCTGACAGGTGGCTGCTGAGGAAGTGAATGAGGACAGCGAGGCCTGTTTGTGAAGGAAGGAAAAGGTGTTCCTCCCATGTCAGGCACTTGGGGTTTGATGGTCTGACTTACTGGTGAGGGCTCCTTTTCTGCCTTGCGGAGTAAGAGGAGTTGCTGTGCCCTTGTGATTTCAAATGAAAAATTGGTCCTGTTGTCTGTATCCCCAGGAACTTCACTCTGCATCCTTTATGTGTAGGTGCCGCCTACTGTTTTGATCAACTGAAAAAGTCAAAGATTTAAAATATTAGAAATTGACCAGAAGTATTAACTATAATTGTAAAGTGTTAGCAGTCGTAACCAGAGTATAAGATTTAGTGTATATGCCTGTGTTCCTGTGATCCATATTCTGTGCAGGTTGTCCAGGTCCAAATGATCTGCATCATCAAAATGGTAAACATCATGTTTGCAAGATGGATGATTTAGGAAGTTCCTTGTTTTGGCAAGGGGTGTGGTGAAGGCAAGGAGTCCTTCCGTCCCCATGTGATTGGTTTGAGAGCACTGAAAAACATGAGTTGCATTTGGAGGTTTTGGAGGTGCTGTTATAGTTGACTTGCCTCACCTCACCTGTTGCTTCTTTTCTGTGAACCTTTTCAGGGTGATGGATTTGCAGAAGGTGGTCACTGTGTTACTTGTTTAAAGAGGTGACAGGCATGTTACAAATAGTGTGTTCTGTATTTGCATTTCAATTTTAAACAGGCATGGACTCTTTGGGGTATTTTTAGTGTCTTGTCACTGTAAATTAGAACTTGAAAACCATCTTTGGAAGAGACAAAATTATTGCCTCAATTGAAATTTAAAGATGAACAAAGTTACGGCACTGTGTTTTCACTTCTGGAGTTAATATTAAGGCAAAAGACATGCCTGACAGTGAAAACAGTCTTCAAGCAACTAAATCCAATTTTTACTTATATTGTGTTTTATAGTACAAAAGATTTACTTTGCATCCCTGGCAATCTTTGCATCTCTGATTTTGTATGATCAAAATGCCACAATTCTCAAAAATGTGAATCTATCATGCAGTCTTCAAAGATGAAAAATTAAAAAATTAAAGTAACTTTCATATATGGACATAAAATACTTATCTTTGTCTTTCTGCAAAAGGAACAACAAATCAAAGAGTTAATAAATCTTCCATGCTTTGTGTTGTTAGAATGTTTTACCTCTTTGGTTTGCTTGCTTTATTACAAAAACGAGCCACAGAGGGCAGAGTTACCAGCAGTGGTAGTAATACGACTTCTCCCATTTCTAGTATTTTCTCACATTTAAAAAGTAAAGAGAGGGACAAATTTCTGAGCACTTTCAGTCAGTGCTTCTGACCATTCAGACAAGATTAATGGGTTATATATTTTGAATCAACGTATATAAACTAAAAATTTCAGCTTGGGTTTCATGAATCTTTTGCAATAGAGGGTAAAGGTTTTTTTATTTACTTCTTGGCAATTTGAAGCAAATGTTTGGCCCATAGGAATTACCTATTGATGGTCAAAATTTTAAATATTGAAACATTAGTGAAACACTGCAAAACCTTCAGTAGAATTATTGATGCTGATGAAGAGAGTTAAATTCATATAAAGATTCTTCAAAATAGCACTTCAGAAAAAAATTGCCTTCTTAGGAGTGAGAGAACTCTACAACAAGAAGTTAACAGAAGATTCCTTGAGTTTGCTGTTAGTCCCCTGGGATTTGTTGCAACTGCATCAACCCCTGTGAATCTAGCCGAAAAGTCTAAATTCTGACGTTTTGTAACCATGGTTTAATTTTCAGTGCTGTTGTGTTATGATTTCTTGCGTCTGAGGGCAGGTTGCATGGGAGGTGTTTTAGAACTCGCAAAAAATGTCGGTATTGGTGTCCTAGCGCTGGCTGAAAGATTGCCTGGTCATGGTGAGCACTGGCTCTGGCAGCTGACTTCCCTTTCTCAGCATGGCCATTCCAACAGTCTTGGAAATCTTGGCATTGCTACCTCCTCTTCTCTGCTTCTCACTGTAATTTGATAATTGATTTTTTGTTCTGTTGACCTGCCTGAAATTGCTTTTTTGGATCTCCTTTGTCTTTGAATCAGTTACAGGTAATACAGAACAGCAGGAAGCTCTAGCTTGTGTGCTTTGTGTGGAAGTATGATGGATGGAAAGGCAAAGCCTAAAGGGACCTTTGGTTGGTCTGGAGTGTGGCTGTGGTTTGGTGTCAGGAATTGCTGATGGAGCTGGGATGGCATGTGGGTGACTGCTTTCAATGGGCCAGGGAGAGCAGATCACTAATGATTTGTTTGTGTATGCTGTCCACTGCTTACTACACAAGGACAGCACACGAGAAACTGCAGAGCTGCTCGGTGACTCTTTTGTCTGTTCGTGATCTTACCACAACAATACTGTAAGTGTGGCAACAGTGCAGTGAGCACAAACCATTCATTACTTTCTTGAATATTTTGAAATTGCCTTTGAAAAGCTTTTCTAAGGTTTTCTGCTTTCTGTTGAGAGTTATTTCTAACCCTTTGAATAGTCTAGAGGAATTACTGGGAAGATTTGCATGTGTTTTAACAGCTATAGGAATCTGTGTGGAGTGTAAATAGCTTTGTATGTGGAAATGCATAGGTTTAGCAGAATAAATTTATTACAGGAAATTTCCTCATGTTAAATGTTTAACGGTGTCAGAAAAGATGTTCTATGTCTGGCTTTCTTTCTCCAGAACATTCAGGATTTGGAGCAGGGAATAAGAAAACAATAAATTGAAAAGCAAGGATAATACCCTATCAGACACACGATTTTTGCCACCAGTGAACTTTTGTGTTGTCTTCATGTGAACAAGGCATCAGTAGGCACCAGTAACACTGGCTGCTGCACCTGCTCCCCCTCAGGAGTGCCTAAGAAAGGATGCACTTAGTTGAGGGGAAAAAAATATCTTAGTAGCATTTGCATTTTTGTCTTTCCTGTTTTTACTGCTAATGATTCAGTGCATTTTGCAACTCTTATTACTGGTCAATGCTTGTGTGTCTATCTTGGCAATGTGGCAGGCATCCTTCCTCCCATGTTCCTGGTGGGAAATGAGAAGATCACAGTTGGGAATGGAGTCTGTGCTCTAAGAGGGTATTCCAAAAGCCTCTTAACTAGCTTGTCAGAATGTACTGTGTACATAGTTTGTTTTTTTTTTTTTTTCTGTTTGGGTGGAACTACTCTTGCATATTTCCTAAAATCTACAGATAAATCAATGCATTGCAGTATGTGTGCTGCAGTTGTAACTCTTCTGCTGATCTGCTATTTGCTCTGCTGCCTGTAGGTCAAACATCTATGTAGTTAAACAAGTGGTTGGTGCTCCTGAGGAGTAATGGGGTGATGCAGCTTTTATCAGGCAGAGTAATTTGTCTGGTGCAAGTAGTTTTAATTCACATTATTGATAAAGTAATTCAGGTGCCTATAGTAATTTATTTAATTTCATAGAACAGGTAAACATAAGAAAACCTCCTTCCCCAAACAGTGCAGAGCTGGTTAAATGTTCCTAAACTGAAGCATACAATTGAGAAGATTAATTCCTTTGTTCTTCTGCTGATATTCATTAATTATAATACTGGCTGAATTACAGTGTAATGACTGTATTTCTCTTTTCAGGACATAAGGGACATTGTTGCGTGATAGAATGGATGAACAATCACAAGGGATGCAGGGGCCTACTGCTCCACCATTTCAGCCACAGGTACATCTATCTGGGGTTTTTTTAACTGTAACTCATTTCTTAAATACAGAAAGGGATAACATTGTTTCTTGTGGTAACAATGAAACTGTGAACAGATAGAATGTATTCTCACGATCTTGAAATGAATTCTATATCAGTCCAGTAATTGATAGAAAATAATTGGTTTTAATTTTTGCCTCTTCCTGCTTCACTGACTTTGGGAAGTTGGAGTTGTAGTGTGAGGAAGAAACACAAAGAGGAATACAGTTGTTTCCTTAAGAAATGTTGAGTGTTAAACACTATGTTTCAAAACTGTATTCAAAATACCGTATTTATTTCAGACTGTTGGCTTTACCTACATCTTATACCTCCTGACAGTGATACTGTATGAATTTCTGTCATTACATTGACAGAAATGCAATGGTTGAAACCAGGCATCAGGTTTCAACTCCACAACCTCCCTGGACCACCTCCCTTTCGCTGTCAACCTCACAGTGAAAAAAATCTTTCCTGATGTTCAGATGGAACCTTCTGTGTTTCTGCCTGTGCCCATCACCTCTTGTCCTGTCACAGGGCACTGCTGAAGGAAGTCTGACTCTGTATTTTAACATGTGTTTTTCAGGAATTTGAGCCCATTGATGAGATTCCCCCTGAAACTTCTCTTCTGTAGGCTGGATGTTGTCAGTGCTGTCAGCCTTTCCCCCTGTGATCTGTGCTGCAGAGCCCTGCTTGCTTTCTCCAGTACATCTGTGTAGGGGTGGACCAGAGCTGGATGCAGCACTCCAGGTGTGCTCCCACCAGTGCTGAGTAGAGGGGAAGGATCTCCCCCCTCCTCCTGGCACCACTCCTCCAAATGCAGCCCAGGACATCCCTGGCCACCAAGGAGTGCATTGCTGGCCCCTGTTCACGTTGGTGTCCAGTGGGACCCCAGGTCTGGCCTGTGGAGCTGGTTTCCAGAGGTCAGTGCCAGCGGTCCTGCTGCATTTTGGGGTTGTCACAGCCCGTGTGTGGGGGTTCCCACTTCGCTGTGGTGAATTGTGTGAGGCTCCTGCCAGTCCATTTGTGCAGCCTGTCAGGGTCCCCTGGGATGACATCAGGACCCTCTGGTACATTCAGTCCTCCCAGTCTGTGTCATCAGCAAACCTGCTGAGATCACATTTGGCCCCATTATCCAGATGATTAAAGATGGTGTTGATCAATACTGGATTGATTGCTGAGGTACACTGCTAAGTGCAGTCCTCCACCCACAGTCAGTGCTATCAGAAACTCATTTGCTGTTTGGAATGAAGTGCCTGAATGGTCCATCAGAGTTTGTTATCTATGAAGTTAAAACACATCCCTTACATCAATGTTTTGGGAGTGCAGATAGTACTGCCAAACTGCTTCCACGTTGTAAAAAGGTTGTGAAGGAAGATAGAAAAATATGGATTAGCAGTCTGAGGCAGTAGACTCTTAAATTCCAGAACTTTTGTGAGAGTAGAATGGGAACATTTTAGCATCTCAATAGAGAAGAGCATTAATCTCTTACTAGACCTGAAAAACCATAAACTGAAGGCAGCATATACATTCCTTACTTTTTGGGGTTTGTTTGTTTGTTTTTTGTTTGAGGTGTGGTTTTTTTTGTTTGTTTTGGAATTCCCAAAGCTGAAGAACAGTGGTTTATTAAGTCTCTTCTTCTATGGAAGCATATCTGCTCAGCATTGCTGTTTTGCTCTGTTTCCTTGTTTGCCTGTATTCCCCTCAAAATGAGGACTCAGAGCCCTGTGCAGTATTCATTGTACACACAATGGACTTAAGTAGTGAAACA